TGTGTGTGTGTGTGTGTGTGTGTGTGTGTGTGTGTGTGTGTGTGTGTGTGTGTGTGTGTGTGTGTGTGTGTGTGTGTGTGTGTGTGTGTGTGTGTGTGTGTGTGTGTGTGTGTGTGTGTGTGTGTATGTGTGTGTGAGTATGGAAAACATCAGCAGTGCTAAAGCATTTCTATTTTCCCCTGACACAAAGCAGAAGAGGCACCGAATGAACGACAACAGCTCATTTGATCAACGAGCACTAAAAATGAGGAGTGACTTATTAATTTATATTAAGTTAAAACATTAAAAGCTTTGAGACATAAAACCATGAATGTGTGCCAACTAACAAAAGCAATAAGTTGTAAATTTAATAATGAAACATGTAGGTTTTTGTTGTTGTTTGTTTTTTTTACATGAAATTTCCTAAAAGAAGAAAAGTGTGTAATGAGATCACAAGGGATTTTTTTATTAAAGCACGCTCGTTTTTATTTCAGTATTTGCTGTGAAAATTTGGTGTCTTTTATTTATTTGTTTATTTATTTGGTGGGAGTAATGGGGCAGAGGTTAGAGAAGGCGAGTCTGTGATCAGAAGGTTTGATGCCCCAGACTGCCAGCATCAAAATGTGGGTGGGAAAGATTACACACCCACACCTGCCTCCATTCGCGTTTGCCCCACTCTGGGCCCTTGAGCAAGGCCCTTAACCCCCACCATCTGCTCCCCCGGGCACCCAAAATAGCAGCTCTCTGCTCCACACAGAGGGCTGTGGTAGCTTGGTGGTCTGTGGTTGTGCCAGGAAGGGCACTGAGCGTAAAAACAATCGTCAAGTCTTCGTGCGTGTTGGTTCGCTGTGACGACCTCTGAGGAAGGGAGCAGCTAAGAGAAGAATTATTTATTTATTTATTTCATTTTTAGGAGGAATCTGACCAAACTGTCCTTGCTGTTCAGTCACATGCTGTGGGAGCTGAAAGCGATGTTTCCAAGGGGATATTTTCAAGGTGACACTTACAGGTTAAAGAAAACTGAGGCTGAGCAGTTTTGGAGGCGTTGCTTTGACACCACGTGAGTGTAAAACCTTAGCATGATCCATATTTTGTTTTGTTTCTTCTGTGTACGCCAATAACCGGAATATATTCTTGTGTTCTGATAGGTGTATAGTGCAATGGAAAATGTTCAAAGAACAGCTGAAAAGCGTGCATCATTTCGAGGAAGGGATGGAGTCCATGGCTCTGAAATCAACTATTGATCTTACCTGCAACGATCACGTCTCAGTGTTTGAGTTTGACATCTTCACAAGACTCTTCCAGGTGAGCAGAACGCTTTCCGGACCTTCCTGCTGGGACAAGACTGAAAACCTCAATCAGGTTATCTTTGATAACACATGTGATGCTGACATACTGGTAAAGTGTTGAACACAAGCAAAACAAAACTGTATATATGCCTATATATTACATGTATACTGGCAACAAAACAGCACGGGATAATTCAAAATCTTTTAAAATTGAGATTCTATAGATAATTGTGCACATCTAATATCTTACCTGTTGTAGATAGGTCTCTCAGTAAACTTTGTTTGGAGAAATAATGTTTATTTTTGACAACACTGATTTAATTATGGCATAGCAGTTTGTGCAAATACTATTTTATCATTTTTTACAGCTTTTTCAGTTTAGTATTACATGTTTCTATGGCAGGCAGCACGGTGGCGCAACTGGTAGAGCTGCTGCCTCTCAGCGAACAGGTCCCTGGTTCAAACCCCGGTCCAGGGGCCTTCTGGGTGGAGTTTGCATGTTCTCTCCGTGCATGCATGGGTTTTCTCCGGGTACTCCGGTTTCCTCCCACAGACCAAAAACATGCATGTTAGGCTGATTGGTAACTCTAAATTGTCCCTAGGTGTGAATGAGAGAGTGAATGGTTGTTTGTCTCGTTTGTCTCTATGTGGCCCTGTAATGGACTTGCGACCCGTCCAGGGTGTACCCCGCCCCTCGCACAGTGATTGCTGGACATGGGCACCAGTGACCCCCGTGACCCAAAATGGAATAAACGGGTAAAGAAAATGGATGGATGGATGGATGGATGTTTCTATGGCATAAATATTAAGACACTCCTAACAGAAGTGCAACTTAATCTAGTTAGATTCTGCTGCCACTTTTTGCATGTGTAAATAACCATTAAAATTCTGTGAAAATAATCATAAGAAAGTTAAACTGAACACAGTATGACACAGTCCAAGTTTTTATAGCATAGTCTGCCTAAAAAGCCTTTTAAACCCTTTAATTGAAGTTGTTTTAATTCTTCCAAAATTGGAAAATTGTGTTAAATATGAAATATTAGAAAAGATAAAATATCGCAATAGTTTGCAAATAAAACAACAAATACTTTATATTATGGAACGTAGCTAATATGTCACATGTTTAAACTAACATATTGTACAATTTGATGGTTAAAAAAAATGTAATTTTCAGTTTTATGGCAGCAATATGTCTCAGTGGTTGAGAAAGGAGCTGGAAAAAGCTGTAAATGTAAGTGGTATACATAAAAGTGTTTACCAACGAGTTGGGTTAATTGCCAACGTGTCAGTAAGAGGAATAAGAATAAAAACAGTTTTAGAGAGGCTGAATCTCTCAGAAGTAAAGATGGGCAGAGGCTCATCAGTTTTTCATAAACTGCATCTAAGATTTCTGAATAATGTTCTGACAATGTCAGAGTTTTTTTATTTGTCATTTGCACCACACGTGGTACATGTGGTGGAACGAAATTGTGTACACAGGGTCCCAGTTACATCCAACAATAAAATGTAAAAGAAAAACAGTAATAAGATCTAAGATATGAACTAAGAAAAACGTTAAATAAAAACACGCTAAGCACTAATAACATAAAAACATTACGCCGAACAGCAGCACGAACATGAGTCTGTGTGAGCAGATTAGTACGAATAAACACAGCAACATGATGTTCCAACTTTTATAAAATTGATGTTGTAAGACAGAAGCCATTTAATTAGATTTTTGCCCTGCATGAACTAGTCTTTGATGTCATTCAAAGAGCTACCGTACTTATAAAAAAATTAAATAATCTTTTGAAAACCTTTCCGCAGAGCCCAACTTTAAAAAAAAAAAAAAAAAAATCTGAATTATTTCTTTAAGTTGTTGCATTTGTCTGAAAACAAGTTTAATATACTTTTATTTTTTTATATATATATTTTTTGGTAGCCCTGGAGGTCTCTCATAAAGAACTGGAACTACCTAGCAGTGACCCATCCAGGCTACATGGCCTTCATCACATATGACCAGGCTGTAGCTCGACTGGAACATTACCTGCACAGACCCGGGAGGTAAGCATGGGCACAATTTAAAATGGTTTTTCACAGTGATTATTCTAGTTAGAGATTCATAAGTCTAACAGCCTCAGGGTAGAAGCTGTTCCTCAGTCTAGTGGTTCTACACTTAATGCTCCTTAACCTCCTTCCTGAGGGGAGTGGGGCAAAAAGTGTGTGTGCTGGGTGAGTGGGGTCCTTCA